CAGCTCACACATAAATCGAATGAAAACTACTTTATATGATATGATATGATATGATATGATATATATATATATATATATATATATATATATATATATTGGCACCTCTCTGTACTAATTTTCCTGTGCTCCAATAAATAGTGGTGAAATTGTGTTTTATGGGACACTGCCCATCACAACAATCATTTAAGAACTATATACACTAGAATGTTATTCAGTTTTAGCACCTACGCACCACATGTGTGTCTGTTAGTCATTGTCAGTCAGTCAATCAGATCCACAAAACATAAAACTTGACACGTGCATCGATTCAATTTCCCTAACTGCATCAGCACAGTAAAATAAAATTATTTCACGACAAATCCCAAAGTAATAGGAGTGGTAGCCGAACCAGTATTAGTCGAAAAGAATAGGTGTGGAAAAATAAGGTGTAAGATTTCGGGATTCAGTTTCTAAAGAAAAACAGAGTGGATGTACCTGCACCATTGCAGATGATGTCGAGCGATGTCACCCACAGTCTCTAACAACTAGTTACGATAATCATGTGGAGCCCAAGTAGGTAGTCGATAGCTATTCACATGACTCAATACAATTGTCAATCACTTCACATATTGGTACCATGTCTTGATGTGACCGTCACTAGTTTTCTTTCAGCCTACTAGTGCAACAGAAAATATTACCTACTGAGATAGGCATTAATTGGATATACGTAACACAAGTGGATTATTGCTAATAATATAAATTGTTTGAGAGCAAAATTTTAGCAAGCGAAAATGAAATCAACACATTATATGCACTTGAACAAGTAAGCAGTTTACAGGCCTTTGCATTTATACATTATATACATCTTTAATGATACAGTAAACTCTTCTTATAAAGCCTAAACTTCTAAAACCACAAATAAATATTCGCTTTCATCGATATATCAACAAGGACCAGTCCGTTTTAAATGAAACCAATAAATTCTATTCTATGATAGCCAGCTCACTAATAACTTGCCTCAATATATTTCTAAAAATTTGGTGAGATGTCGTTAGCTGAAAATTCCAGACACATCGGAAGTGAAACAGTTGTCATCACTAGGATCGAGCGACCGCTGATGTACCAGCAGACACCGACTCACTGATTTTAATGGTTTAGCGTTTGCTGAGAGATCTGAAATTTCTGCTTACAATCCCTAATGAATGAGTACTGATAAATAGTTCCAAAAAGTTGTCTAGTGCTCTGCTTCACCATTTTTACTTCCCAGTAGAATTCCGATATCTGGTGCTCAGATTTTAATGGAATCCATAAGTTATTCATCAACTATATATCATAACAAGATAGACTGATGCTAATCTGAAATGTGAAAATTAATGTACAACACACTAGATAGCTGATAGTCATCATCATCGTCACACACCTACCTATATGTTAGGGGGAAAAACAAACCATTTTCACGAAAAAAAATTCTTTATCAACAAGCAGCTGAATTATAAAACGTAATACACTTCTTTTTGAGAGAAAAAAGTACTTAAAAATAAACAAAATCACCATCGAGACTAATATTCATAATCAAGCATACGAATCGGCTTATTTTTGTATAAACTAATTTCACTTTCATAAGTGTAGTGTGGTTGTTATTATTATTATTATTATACATGTGATGCATTCTAAATTATTCATTACAAAACACAATGCACTATAAGATACCAATGAAATATGATTCACACGCTAGTTCTTATTAGTGTTTTAATGTAAGATAACCATTGAACTGAGTACACACAAACGCATAGTACCAATAAATGACCTTCAGTTGATTAATTCTCAGTAAATTATTGAATTGTGAGCTTGTTAGAAAGAAATTTTTCATCACATTTTAACTAAAAGTAATTATAATTGCAAGATAAAATATGAGATTATATTTATATCTAGAAAGTGATAATAACAATAACTATAAATAGAATCAATGATGAATGTTTCTTTCGATGTAGTTTTCCGCTAAATGAATTATACATATCCTAGAAAGTTTTAGTTTTCTCATTTAAACTGAAATACAGAGCGCTCAACGATTCAATATTTATAGAATCATGAATACCACTACTGTTCAAAATGAAGATATTGATAAAAGAAAGGATAAAGATGATCAAACAATGAACTATACAACAACAGTATCTCTAAGATATCAAAGAAAATAAAACAATAATACAACTGGGATCTAGACATTTTTTTCATTTTTGATAAAGCTTACAAGAAAACAACTACACAAAACTAATGATAATTTTTCTTATGATAATCAAAAGTGAACTTAATATAAGGGATTTGTGGAGATTTAAAATTGTAAAAAAGTGAACTAATCCAATAGAATAAACGAATATGTGATTCCCCCATTTTCCCCTCCACACAAAGCTACATCAATCATTTGGTCAGTCAATCAATCATAAACAACGTAGATCATGACACAAATATTTGTTAGCCATTAGATGGTGGTTGGAGGTAGTCAACAGGAAACCCTGGACCCGGGTTTCGTGCTACTTGGCACTCGTCAGCAAGGTGTACCTGTAATCTTGAGGGAACTGGTGCTCCCTGGCGGATTCGATCTCGTGTCACCCAGCTTCACAGTCAGAGACGTTACCACTGAGCTATCCGAGCCGTGACTAACCTCCTGTAGGACTGAGATGTAATCACAATTGATTGATCACTGGGTGGTGATCAATGTCATGCTTGTCTAGTCCTTATTAGTGCAGATCGATACATAGTGCCCGCAGTGTCGAGTCACCTAGACTGGTGGCCACATTGCAACATGATCGATAGCATTCGATCTGCACTAATAAGGACTAGACAAGCATGAGATTGATCACCACCCAGTGATCAATCAATTGTGATTTGTTAGCCATGCTTATCATATCACATTAGCAAGACGATATGGAATCAACAAATCGAATAACAAAAAACAGAAATAATCTATTCACTGTGATGATAAGGGTAAATTTCGAGAATATGGTTGTAAACGACAGAATGAGAAAGTACGTATAAGGGCATGCTAAAACTTAAGATATAGAGCGATATAAGTAAGGAATGCATCTGTGGTATTATAATCTATTATGAGCCATGTCACACGATGTCTCCGAACAATGATTGTAATTATTATGTGGACTAAAGTCGGATAATCTTCATTTATCGACGTAGACCAGACCAACAGTTAATAATTCCATGGACCAGTATAACATTTTCGTTGGTCGGCCCCATAAGCTTTCTTTGAACCTATTTCCATACCAGTTAACTAACACTGTTCATTGAAGTAAATAATGGTTGCTTAGGCATATGTAATATATATTCCATTCCCCTTAGTTGATAAACAGTCACAAACTCAACGAGTTTTCCACTTAGAGTGAAATCAACAGCCTTGTGTTCATGAAAAGTTTAGAATATGATAAAATTCATAAAATTGTAACACAATTTGTCAAGAGAAATTTCACGAATATTGAAACATTTATTGGATTCATTTACTCACTCCGTCAAATCTCTCATACAATTACGAGACAAGATTAAGGACATTCAAATTAACAACGATGAACTGATTATATCCTCCAACGTAACAGCCTTATTCACTACAATTGAGCCAAGCTTAGCAAAAGAAACTCTATCCCTGCTTGTGATCAACGACACAAATCCCCCAAAGTACACGAAGCTTCAAAGTCAAGGTCTACTAGAACTCATCGATTTATACTTAACAATATATTTTCAATTCAAAAACAAAATCTACGAACGAACGAAAAGAACACCGATGGGACTACTAATATCAAGACTTATTGCAGAGGCAGTGATGAAGAGACTGGAAGCCTCGACCTGACCAGTGATCAAGCCAAAACTTTGGATTGGTTATGTGGACGACACATTCGTTATTGTCAAAAAGGATGAGCTGGAAAACACCTACAACCTGATCAACAACGTCTTTGATGATATCAAGCTCACAATGGAACAAGAGTCAAACAGCAAACTACCATTCTTGGATAATTAATCACCAGAACCAACACAGGAAAACTGGAGACTCAAGTAAAAACCGAACATCATCTACAAAGTAAATTGTTCCAAGTATGAAAAACATTACATTGGACAAAGTGGACGCGCAATTCATCTTTGCCTGCATGAACATCAATTAGCAGTCAAACGCCATGACATATCCTCACTTATATCAATGCATGTGGACAACTGTGGACACACATTCGACTGGAAGAATGTTGAAATCTCGGGTAAAGGAAATTCTAAAAACACCTGAGTAGTTTTAGAAGCTTAGCACTCAGGTCAATCACCAACCAACAAACACATTGAAATCGATTCAATTTATCAACCAATCAGAAAAATTATGAACAAATATAGGACCAAGAATCAAATCAATGGGAGATACAATCAAAATAAAGCAAACAATGACAGTTTAAAGGTCAACAATAGCCAATCAACATCAAAATCTACAGGACAAACTGTGAGCCACATGTGGAGAAATTTGAACACTTCACTCTAATTGAAGTTTGTGCTAATGATGTCTTTCAGAATAACGATGAAAGCTCCACGACCAGACCATCCAGCTCAGAGAACAAAACTCCATCAAAATCATTCACCTGAGCTACAAATCTTCTCCATCATCTCAAAGAATTCTAGCTTTAACAATCTTTATAATTTTGCAATTTAAAAAGTAGTAAATTTCTAAAAATCTTCAAATGAATTTAAAATTATATCGATGGGTAGATTTGTGTCGACATATCCGGGATCTATTAAAAATTTCGGAATAGAAGACACAATTGATCCCTTACATTTTACTTTACTAACTATATTTAAAATCGTAATTTGAAATAAATAAACACGAGTGTACATCTTCAAAAATGAACTTGTTGAAGAGTGTTCCCTTCATTTAACTGACTGTCCTTTGTATTAATTGATTTGCATATAAAATAACATACTAATATAAATAATTATAATATTATCAATATCAATAATAAGTGTACACAATAAAAGCAACGACTTACTTGTTGATTTGGTGATAAACTCAAAATTAATTGACACTGTTTTCGTCGTTGAGTACAATAATGTCGTTCAAATTCCGCTCGTTCATTCAATACAGAATGAATATGCAAACATCGATACACTGGTCCGAAATCGACTAAATCCTCCACTTTTGAATATGTTCGATTACAACAATTACCGTCATTATTAACATTTATTTGAGTTTTTATTGTCATTTCTGGTTCACCATGATCATCATTGGTAATCCATGGATGATTTTTATTTGTAACAATTTGAGTTAACATTTCTAATTCATTATCTAAACTATCTGTATTCGTATTAACTGAATAAGGAAACAGTGATAAAGAGAGATTGGGTGAATGAGTCAGTGAGCAAGGAGCATATATAGGTGCGACAATACATCAGTGGGCAACATATAACATAAGAAAAACGATAAGCTGTACAATAAATTACTTATGCAAATACACACATTTAATGCGATAGAATTAAATGTCATTATGTGCGAGTCCGAATATTGATATGAATTGGTGTGAATCAGTCACTAAGTGCGAGCTTGTCAACTTAGTTTTGAGATACAATTCAGGAAATAGGGATATTTAACGTTTCTTAAAAATATTTGGCCTGGATTCAAAGAAATTGGAAGTCCAACGCCGCAACATTTCTCATTCAAATAGTGACTGACCGAGCATTCTATAAAATTAAGACTAATTTACAGTTGTGTGTGATGTACGTAAATTTTGTTGTAATTATTTAAATCCCTCATCTGAGTTCTATAATAACTGGCTGGTAACTAGGATATAAAAACTGGTGGTAACTGACAGTTGACTACTGATATGTGCGTATGTACATATATATTTGTATAAGTATGTATATAAATTTTGTAACGCTCTAGATTCTTTTAATGACATGATGTGGTATATGAAGTATGAGGATGAAAACAGCCCTTTAATTAGAACTAAATTCTGATAATATTCTTTTATTAAACAAAATTCTAAGAAATTAAAGTTCTACAGTCCTGAGTTCAATACATAATTGGGTAGTGCCTACTCAATAAAAAGGTGTAGTACCAATCTAGGTTATCATAACTATTTAGTGACCCCTTGCTTTAAAAGTGTATCAGCTGATATTATTCCATGACGAAAATGAATCTCAGAATTGGCCTAACTTTGACAAATAATCAAGTGAAATAACTATTTCAGCAAACGATTGATTATATGTATGAAAACCTAACCAGAAAAATGTATACAAAAAGTTTAATTCATCAAGATATTAAGAAATTGCTGGAATATTCGAATATGTTACACAATGTGTAAATGGTAAATATTATCAGTATAGAGTTGTGGAGATTGTTAAATTTTTTGATTGAGATCATGAAAACCTGGAAGTACTGAACAGCCGTTTCGTTCTAGTATGAAACTCCTTGGCAGTGCGTATCCATGACATCGCACGAGGGATCTGAACACAGGACCTTCGGTCTCACTAGTGACTAACTTCAAGATGATTTTCTGGAGTTCTAGTGAAAAGCCATAACCAGTGGAGTTCCATCTGTGTCGGATAGAGACAGGTATCTACCTCAGTCAATGGACGAATGGTTGCGCAGCCATTCATAGATCGATGGAAGTTAGACATTAACACCGCTGGATGCCGGCTCAGTGCTCTAGAGGTTAAGTGTTCGCGCGCGAAACACCTATCTATTGCTTCCAGGTTTCCAACGGCTGTCTAACATTCATCGATTCATGATCTCAATCAAAAAAATAGTAATTGTTGAAAAAAAGGAATATCAATCGATTATCATGTATATGCCCACGTATCATGTTGTAAGTTACGAAATCTAATTGGACAGTTCTTATATTGATATTTGCATGAGTACTGCAAAACTACGAAGAAGTTTGGTACAAAATAAATGACTTTTTGTTAAAAAGTTTAATCCACAATGAAGTTAAGCTATTTCAGTTGTTTCATACAATATATCTCATTTATAAATTTGACTAAAGCAAAAACAATTAACGTGGCAAAATAACATTACATCACTATATTTTATAGTTTCTAGTTATCTGCTTACAACTTAAACATAATAACATTAATCATCAAAAATCACATTACATATATTATATCATAATACGGGAAAATTTCTCATCAGTGAAGACTAATGAAAAAAGCATTGATTATAAAAGAACTACAAGAAATGTTTATAAGCCAAATAATGTGAGTATTTACAGGTTTAATATATTAATATTGTAGAATACAAAACTAAGAGAATAGAAACAGAATTATTTAGGAACAAGACATTAATGTTATAGTTATGTAACCCGTAAAACAAAATTAACTAAGTAAAAATAAGACAAGAAGTGGGGATCAATAATTAGTGTCATGAGAAGATCATTGCGTAACAAACATTTATGAATGAGATGACTAATGTGTTTCTGTTAAAGGAGTGTTCTCCAGGTCGGGAAATTTTATTGCAAACATTTGACCATCGTTCTGGACCAACATCACCAGACCTTATTCTACGATAAATAAAATTATAATAAACGTAGACAAAAAACACCTAAAAAAGTTACTAACCGGATGCTTTGTGAACTAACGATTTCAACATCACTTGTTGTTGTGATTCGTTATTTGGTTTTTTGCTTACATCCTGTGCTTCTTTGTATCCATTAACTGCCAAGGTATCGCAAAGTGCTTCACTATCTATTCCAGATACTTGTGCTGCTTCTCGCATAGCAAATGCACCAAGAACTATTGAATTTTTCCGTATGTATTCAAGAAAATCAGTTAATTCATCAAGACTTGCATTCTAGCGAAATAAAGAATTAAGAACTCTTACTAATGTCTTAATTTAAAAAGGTTTTTTCAACAAAAAAGAGATAATTATTCGTCATTTTCGGCAGTGTTTCACTCCCACAGCTAAATGATCCAGTTATGGAACTTTCAACATTCCTCGAGACACAGAATCATCACAGTGCAAAATTGAAACTTTTTTCTATATATGTACTGGTAATGTGATTTGGGAAGACATAACGAAATCTTCACGAATACAGCCTGCAACTCAAATAATACAACATAATACCAAGATTGTTCTTTTGAACTACAATTCATTATCAATGTCTCAATAAAAGTTTTATGTATGGATAAAAAGAAGCATTTAAAAATCTTCAACACACTGCTTAAACTTAGTTTATAAGGATGAATTTTAAAAATTAATACTTTTTCTTCCTGAGTTAAATGAATTAGCTGCGAGCTTCCCATTATATTCTTAGCACTTTTCTTTACTTTTACTTACACCTGTTTCCCCTCTTGGAGGAGCATTGGTTACCCACCAGCATTCTACATACAACTCTGTCCTGGACAATGCTTTCCAGTTGCTAGTAATCCTTCTCATGTCTGCTTTCGATTCCCGACACATTGTGTTCTTTGGTCTTTCTATTTTCCGTTTCCATTCAGGATTTCAAGTTAGCGCTAGCCTCGCGACGCAGTTTGATGATTTCCTCAATGTATGTCCTATCCACCTCCAGCGCCTTTTCCCACTTCTCTTCAGTTGGAAGCTGGTTTGTCCTCTCCCACAGTAGGCTGTTGCTGATGGTATCCGGTCAACGGATATTGAGTATCTTGCGTAAACAGCTATTTATAAATACTTGCACCTTTTTGATGATGGTTGTAGTAGTTCTCCAACTTTCAGCTTTGTAGAGTAGAACTGCCTTGTCGTTCGTATTGAAGATCATGATTTCGACATTGGTCGGCAGTTGTTTCCAGTCCCGTATGTTATTCAACTGTAGGAATTCTGTCCTTGCTTCGCTAATTCTTACCTTTGCGTCTGCACCTGATCCTTCTCGTTTATCGATGGTGCTGTCCAGGTACGTGAAACTGTTCACCTCTTCCAGAGTTTCTCCATCAATTGTGATTGGGTTGGTGTTCACCGTGTTGTATTTGAAGATCTTACATTTTTGCCTTGTGTATGTTGAGGCCTACTGTTGCAGAGTCTCCCACTACAGTGATTGTCTTCACCTGGATTTGCTCGTGTGAATGGAATGGAAGAGCTAGGTGATTTGTGAGGTTCAGAACGTCTAGTTGATCATGAGCTGTCCATTATATTCCGTGTTCCGCCCCCCCCCGCCCACAGATGTCGAGGTTTTCATAATCCAGTCAACCACCACAAAAAATACAAAACGGTGAGAGTAAATAGCCTTGTATGACTCCAGTCCTCACTTCGGATGAGTCTATCTGCTGTCCTCCATGCACGACGTCGCAGTGTAGTCTGTCATATGAATTCCGGATGATGTTGACGATTTTCTCAAGTAGTCCATAGTGTCGGACAAGGTTCCATAAAGTCCTCCTATCCACACTGTTAATTTCTTTTTCATAGTCAAAGAAGTTGATGTATAGTGGTGAGTTCCATTCAAGTGATTGTTCAACAATGATCCGTATTGTCGCGATTTGATCTGTACATGACCGAGCCTTACGGAATCCAACCTACCGATTTCGAAGCTGGACGCCTACTGATTCTTCCGGTTCGACAACACTCTTTTGAAAACCTTTCCAGGTACCGATAGTAGTTTTATTCCTCTGTAGTTCTCACATTTTCTCAGATCTCCTTCCTTTGATATTTTCATGAGGTATCTTTCTTTCCAGTCTGTCGACATGTTCCTCCTCCCAAATCTTGAGTAGAATGCGGAGCATGTTTGCAGTTACTTTTATATCTGACTTCGATGCTTTAGCTGGTATGCTGTCAGGTCCTTCTGCTTTCCTACTCCTGGCATGTCTGATGACCATCTTGACGTTTTCGATCGTTGGTGGAGTGACCGGTATAAGAATGTCCGTGTGTGCTGCTTCGATGTCCGGTGGATTCAATGGAGCTAGTCTATTCAACAGTTCCTTGAAGTACTCTACCCATCTGTTCCGCTGTTTTTGAATCTCCATGATCATCTTTCCGGTCTCCCTGGTTTAATTTATCTCCCTGCTAATTTCTTCTTTGTATCATATGGTTGTTTCATATTTTCTTCTCTTGCAGCTTTTTTGGCCGTCGTTGTTAGCTCTTCCATGTGTTTTTTTCCAATCAGCTCTAATGCTACTCTTCAATTGCTTGTCTGCTTCTGTGTATCCAGCTTGTGCCTTGTTTTTCTCTGTTCTTGTTCGGCTATTGTTAGTTGTTGTCTTCTTGTCCTACTCTTCTTGAATCTTGTACAGAGTTTCGATAGAGACTCATTCTTTATTATTGCACTTCTTGCGACACAGAACCTCCTGACAAGAATTTAATGCTTCTTTGATCCCTCTCTAGTTATTTTTCATAGCAATTTCTTCTTTCAGTAGATTTTGTAAGGCTTGGAACCTGTCGATCAGTTATCTCGGATTCGTTGAGTTGATCTATCTGGTTCTCTGTGGCGTGGTCCGGTGAGACCCACGTAGTTTTGTGGGGTCCGAAGGGTTTCACTGATTCCGGGCACCGTTAAATTGTATCTCCTCAATTCCATAGCTATCTGATTTGTTCTCCCGGTTTTCCACATTGTCCGAACATTCCATGTACCAAAGTTAATTGTTGACCGGGTCGTTAGAAGAGGCATCAGTCTCGTAACTTCCGAAGAATCTCGGCTTTCATCGTGGGGCGTCATAATTCTTTCTTCAACTGGGAGGGCAGAGTTTAAATGGTTTAATTTGTTTATTCTAGTTAGCGTTCTGTTTTAGCAAACTTGTTTTGTACAGAAAGCCGTTGCTAGCTCCACGCCCAACCTTCCTCTTTTACCTGGGATTGGGACCGGTAGTAGCCCTAGAAGAGCTACAGGCGGAGTTATATATATTCTTATTGATTTGATAAACACCATCCAAACAAATGTGTTTGAATAGGCCTTAAAACTGTAGATGAATGTTTTCACCAGTGAATAAGCCCGGTGAATTGAAGTGTTTCTGCTTCGATAAATAACATACACACAGTTCATTTTAATTTTTACTCCACTTTTGTTGTTGACGGCTATAGTTTTTTCGATCGTTTTTACTCTTTTCCAACTATTATTTAACTAAACGTTTAAATGTGAATGCTTTTTAATGATTTTCTAGAAAAGCTAATGTTCTTTTTGTCTCACTAGAAGTGCTACCGAAGAGTAGGTTTTCAGTGCTATTCAATAGATGATTATGACAAGCATTTTTATATGACATATTTTGTAGATTTACTAATAGTAAGGAAAATATATTTACGATGAATTACGGCATAGTGGTTTCCATGGATGAATTTTCACATTGAATTAACGAACTATGATATTTATCAAACCAAGAGATTATATAAACATTTGTCCTGATATTCAAATACATAAACCTCAGAAGATATAGCTAAGCACCTTATTTTGAAGTCCATGATAATGATACCAAGACTTCTGAAATTATACCATGTAGCTTAGATGGAAAATGAACTGCCACTGTGAAATTCTACTACCAATGAATTCCCACTCCATGCTAAATCAAAATGTGATCATATGATATCAACTAGTGATATCTGGAGAAGAAAAATTAAAAGCAAACAAATATTTACTAAATAATAAAACATATCAGGGTGGAAAGTAAACGTATACAACATTGAGCGTCTCTACAATAAAGAAAGAATAAAGTTCCGGATAATGACATGATTCAATACAGTTCCCTATAAATCCAAAAGATGTTTTCGTTTACGTTATTTTTTCGCTTTATTTCAGGAACTCATTGACTGCCTTCAACGCAATAAGTTGATAGCAACATTGTATTCACTGTTCATACAACCCTCTTTTTCGCATTTTCATAGCTCAATCATATATATTATCACAATTATTATCGTCACTATTATCATTATTATTAAAACACTTGCAAACGCTTTAAGAAATTTATTCAACATCCATTCTTATTAACTAATTCGTACTTAATTCATATAATTCTATATATTATATGATTTCTGATTACATTACAATCCCTCTCCTCCTGTGTGAAACATATTTATTCTGATTACTTATCTCAAGATTTCATTTAAATTAAAAACTTATTCAGGGTAACACTTCATGATAGTCATCCAAACATTAACGATTTTCATGTACTTTAATATTCTAAATTCACATACTACAATTTTTAAACGATATATTTTTCCTTAAACCTGGCCACGGATTGGATTATTATTTTTCATATATAATTGCAAAGTACCTGAAGAGAATTCATTGAAAGGAATATTCTTCCTTCATATGTATATGTGTGTTACAAAACAAAGTCAACGTACATTTTTTATAAAATGCTTTGTCATCAATAATAACAAGAATTAACAAGGGTTTTAAAGCAAAACGTTAAAATCAATATACTGGCCAGACAAACCTTGATTCTCGTCCTTGTTTTCGGTATGCGATGAATGATGATTTCAGAAAAGGCGAACGGGCGAATTAGATCCAGTTGAGAATGCTCTAGGTCTTCAAGATTTTTCAAGGCATGATAGTACCTTCCGTCAGCAATACTTTGCTCAATGCGAGAGTATTGTTCTAATATCGGAAGACTGATTTGAATTGCATCAATGCATTGATTAACATGATCCAAAGTGAGTTTACAGGCGGCTAATTTGTCACACGATTCACTAAACTAAAAATAAAAACCACCAAATTTCCGCAGGTAAACAACAACATACCGCATAGCAGGTTTATAAATTTTATCATAAAGTGTCATATGAATTGTTATAATGGATAAAATACAGAAGTTGGATTATTGCTTTAAACGAGCTTAAAGTATAAAATTCATCTGATATTTTCAGAATCTCTAACAACTTGGTAATCTGGCCATGTGACTCCATCACAATAAGATGCCCAATAACAGATTAGTTCCCCTTTTATCTAAAATTGACCTTGTATTTTGAAAAAAACCAAAAGAACTTTCCGTAACTTAGGAAGGTGTAAATTTAACGTCATTTTCACCTAGCCTAGAAAACATTCATAATTTTAGTTAGATGCATTTCATCGATATTTCTTAAAATAAACCTTAATACATTATAGTTTTTATTTCGTTAAAAAATTTTCTCAACAAAACATAGATCAGCGTACGAGGCTAGAATGGGAAATTAGTTCATTCAAAGTCACACTGCATCAATAGACATCAAGACAAACCGAAACAGAGAGGTTAAAGAATGCAAGCGTATCAATTTCAATAATGATACTATAGGGCATATAATAAGAAAATCGAAAGAAAAAATGAAAACAGTAAAAATGTAGGTAATTTGGGAAATAAATAGATATCATGAATAACAATAAAAACTTTAGTTATATTTTGTAACCCGCAACAAAATCTAGGATGCATCTAAAATCACCAAATGAGTTTAGTGATAATCATTTTTGATCTACTTACTGAGGCTTGAACTTGAGACCTGTCACTTCGAAATATCCTGCCACTCAGTCCGATTATAGGTAAAAAACCGATTTCTTTGACGAATAATAGATTGCAGTTTCTTATAGTTTACTTACAGGACCAGATATCCCATAGATATTTAGCTTTATTTACAATCTCCGTTTATGTGAACCATCAATGACAATATACATGAAATATATGGCTACATTCCGTCATAAAGGTGCATTTGAAGGGATTACATCTTGAAAAAATTACGTGCTAATAAACTACACTTCGAAAAGGAAGGACAACCCTATGGTAACCATAAATCGCTAACTTTTGTTATGAGAACTAATTATTTTTAATTAGTAAGATCTGTTTCAAGCTTGACATATAGTGGATTGTTTTTTATACGTTCCTAAAATTTTATTGGCTAAGACTTGTATTTGACAACATCGAAATTAGGAGCTTTTTGAAAACCTATGAAGCATATTTCACAACAAGAAAACAATCATTTAATAAAGCAAGGAAAATTCAAGGTATGAGGAACTGTGTCAAGTTCATAAACATCAGGTAATCAAAACTATTATAAAGGATTACGATCTAAATGAGGCGATTGTGAACAACCTAGGACCTGATACAAATGTGTAACTATACTCCCTAATGTTTAGCTTTTCTTACTATTATTAGCGATACATCTATTTCAAATAGCCTCCTATATGTCCCTGATATTAAAAATCAGGACGGAGGCACATTTGTGCCAGACTCTACGACTAATGGATGTACATTGGTAAGTGTTACCACTATTTCCATCAACAATGTAAAATGAAACAAACAGAAAAAACAAAAGGGAATTAGAACTGACATGAATAAGTCAATAAACGAAGTCCGAAAGAGTGAAATCGATGAATGAAAAGTGTTAAGTAATAAAATCCTCGACATAATTCACAAAATATTAATAAATACAGAACACAAATGTGAGTCAGTCCAGTTTGTCACATAGTTCATTAGTAAAATAAGAGAATGATAAGAATAGTGAGGACCTAAACATTAATCACGTCTGTGATGATAGAAAATGAATATTAAGCATGCATTTTAAAAATAACACATAAATGTGCGGAGTAAAGTGTGTCGATAAAAGCACAATGTTTGAAGGGAGATAAGTAATAGTTGTGTCTACCCCAGTGCGACCGACATTAAGCGATTTTTAAGGTTTTTAATCATTATTAATGAATACCGCACGGACCTCAACTGAGGAACTTATTCCTCTCGATAAAGTTAAGCACATTATGGATTATTGCCAAGGTTTTGTGTGAAATTTTCCCAACTTTTTTCTGTGTTCTCCAGCACAGGAAACTGGGTAGGATGTAGAATCACATCCTTATTGACGATTCTGTATATCCATCTACTACCCCACTTTTAACTTCAGCAATATTCACTTGGTTATTCAACTATTTATGAGCAATGCTTCGAAGATACTAATGACTAAATACTAAATACTCCACATCCACGAAGGAAAATAAAGACCTTTGATACAAATAGACAACTCAACTGAGGTATATTTAGTCAGCTAACAACTCAACAAGGCTGATAAGACTCTCAAGGTAAATGGACTGGTTAATGTACTCGACTACATCACTGAACACGGTCAAAACGGACATTGATGCGGAGACTTGAATATAGAGAATGAATTGATGTATTTGGACGACATTGACAGATTTAGATTTGCATCACTTAAATTTGCTAACCACATATTATGGCTATCCTGTGAAATCCCACACACTTTAACTACCAGTTATTATAATCGGCACAAAAAACCACGAAAAAATTTATTTCAGTTGCACCAAAATAGATCAAGACTGATTACTTATCTAGTTGACTGCATACTATTAAAAGTTGGAGAAGACAACCTAAAAAACACAAATTATTAGGTTCTCCGACACCAGCCATTGTTTCGAATGTTTTAAATAAACATTAAAGGCTTTTTCATGAATCCTTAAAATTAATCAATCAAAAATAGAGTTGTGAGAACTAAGTGGTGAGAACAACTATACGTAAATAGATGTTACTTTCTTATAGATTTACGGTTAAGGACCGACTATTATTACTTAACGAGAGGAGAGTATAATTCAGATGAACTTGATTGTATATCGCCCTCCTACATCTTATTAATTTCATACTCAACAGCTATACGATCAAGAGTTCCTGAAATATCTCACAACAATTCCTGCAACAGTGCGACTGATATTATTTACAAAAAGCCATTCACTGATATTTCTCGTTATAATTAAACGATGAAAACAATAATGGTTTCCCTCAAATCAAGCAATATATCTTCACTATGGATTTGAATCCATAAAAATTTAGCTTCCCTGACAGTAAATAAAGTGGGAGCGACGACACCACAGTGACAACTTTTTGATATCGTAGGATATTTTATTCATTTGAACACATAAATATTGGTACAAGGAGGCATCAAACATGTGCGCTGCATACATCATTCGATTTATGTGAGGGCTGAGATACTGCCCGGGTGTCCGGGTTCATACGCCTTTTTTTCCTTCAGGATCCTGGAGCCCATGTCCACCATTGGTTTGGGATCGGAGTTTTACAACTCCCCTAGGCGGACTCTCCGTGTCCACCAACCCGGTTAGGGCACCGGACATTTGCTTTTCGTCTTCTCAACTTCGTAAGCACCCCCGCCAGATTTCTAAATTTTTAAAACCACAGCTAGAAGCATGATCTAAATTTCTTATCTTTAAAATAAACACTTAGATGCTGCCATATGTGATTTGCTACACTCCCCTGACCGACTCTGTTACATAACATCCTTAGATTTTATTATACAGATAAGAGACAAAATTTTGACCTACTCGGAGTCACCAAAGCACTCGCTAAAGTTTAGTCCCAACAAAATAGATGAGGAATATCCACAAACTGGCATGTGTGTATAACCGATTGTATTGCGTACAATATTTAAATTCATGAAAAACTCTTCTCATAAGGACACTTATTTAGCTCCAGATTTTCTTGGACTTTCACGTCAATTTTTTCCCTTTGGCTCAGACATTGTCTTTACGTACTTAAGCCTTTAGCTGAAAACATTGGTAGCCTTTACTCGTGGACATCAAAAGTTGGTCTAGTGAAAAATCTGACGATCTAGAGATTCAAGGATTTTAGAAATACCTCACAGAAATGTCTTGCTTGTAAGTCTCCAGCTCAATAAACCAGGTCATATATATATATATATATATATATATATATATATATGTCGATGCTACGATACATTATGTCGATTTTATGTGCATAGCTGAAAATCACAAAATTCCCTCAGAGTTTAGGCAAAACAACGCTAGCTATGGCTGAAAGGAAAAATTCGGACATGAATTATTGGGATGGCCAAGTTATTTATAAAAAATGAGTCTAACCTTATTAACTGTAACTTCCAGCTCCACATTTAGTGCTTGTAAATCGTTTTCAAGCTTTTCTGCATTTTGCTGGATTTCAAGTAATTCACGTGTGGAATCAACGAAACTTTGGTAGTGATAGCTGCAGGTCTTTTCTATTTCTGCATTATGCTCGGATGCGCGCAGATCAAGAGATGCTATGAAATTAGCTAGTAGTTCACCTGTTGGACCTCCTATGCGAGCTTTGAAAGCTGCCAACTCACTCTCTCGTAGCTTGCGAATAACATTTGCTAACGAACCACTGCTACCCGATTCAATCTCATCAAGTAGTAAGTTGAAATTTAAATTGTTAATATTTGTTGCGGACATGTTGACGTCCTATTGACCCATGGTCAGGGAACCTTAAAACTAGCACATATTTGGCAAGGTCGTCTGAGTGACTTTGATAGTGTACTTAAAATGTCTGTCCTTGAAATTCATTCCTATTCAGTGAGAATAAAAGAATGTGAGGTTTCTGTTGATCTTTGAGACGAAATTCTCTTGGTTGGTTCATTATTCTTTCGGAAGCACCCAGTCCATACATCCACTGACCACCATTAGAAACTTAGTTATTTTTAATTCACACTGGTGATTTTTTTCTCATAAACCTTGAAATTTCGGAGAACGTCGTGAACTTACTTCATATTAAGGTAATCTTTTCATCCAGTAAAATCATAAAACCATTGCGAAAAACACTGATTTGGCTTGCTCTGCTTTATAATGTACACGTCGGCTTAAATGCTGCTTTTTAACTTGGTGCGGGATACCAATTACTCGACTAAACATCCCGGTCTTCCTTTGAAAGTTAATAAGATCCAGAAAACAGAGTTTTAGGAATAACTTAACAGTTCTAGTCAGGCGAAGTTTGTTTTAATCGCTGTTTTGTGCAAGGATGTAGTACATTCTCCAGTTAGTAAATTATTAATTAATTAATTATGCAGTGCTGTTTATGGTGATTCACTTTCTAGAAACATTTTAGTTGACATACGCGAGGCGTTTTAACGTGAAGTATTGAACGCTCGTTTTGGAAGCTGAACTGAATTGGAGTGTGCTAAATGAACTTTTAAAATTAGGAAACAATAATTTTATCCCTACTCAGATTACTCATACTTATTACGTTCATGTCTAATGCAAATTGCCGAAAGACATGGGGTTTAAATGCATGTTTGTGATGTTTCAGTGTACATTTTATCGTAAGCGTAAATCACAAGGTCTATAAGTGAATTGAAAACCATGAGGATTTCAACTAACATGTGACGCTAAAGTTCTAAGTTTCTGAACTGCCAGTCAATGCTCCATGTAACTCTGGATGGTGAAGAATGTCACTAAGTTATTCAAGATGCTTCACAATCATCATAGTAGTAGCTCATAGATGATTTTTGATCTGTAGGCCAGAAGATTGTCCTCAGAAGATGAAGAGCACTTGAATCCGGTGATTCTGCAATAACCATCAACAGGTGAAATGGTAGAAAGTATTCAGGACAAAACTGGTAAGTAGGTCACTGCTGCTGATGTGGATACTAAGAAAGCTTAGCTCACCACAGCTAAGTGCATCTATAAGTTTATTTCAGTTCTTTCCATAATAACACAACAATTTCATTCCCCAGGCGAAGCAAACAGCAAGGGCGAATTAAACGAAGCCAAAAAAGTGCACAGACAACAGAATGAATAAATATGGTGGGTGCTTAGCAATCCTAGTGGAGAGAATAGTCGACAATATTTACTAAAGAATCATCAATAACTAAATAAGAATACGGTTTTTTAACCTGTATATTTTTGTAGTTTTTTTTGGGATAAAAACATGGCTTGGGATATAAATATGTACGTGACAAGAACTATTAACCATAAGAACTTCATAATTGTATTTTCGACTTAACTCTTCATGCAACTTGTTGAGTTATTTTTCTGTATCAAATGTTATTCTTCCTCTACCAGTAGCAATGATCCAACAACAAACCTTTGCCGAATTTTATTTTCGTCTTCGCCATAGTTTCACGGGAAGTTATACCGATGATCTTAAGGTGTGTAGCGTGGCGTCGAGTTGAGATTAACTATGGACACCGCTACAGAGAAACACGTGCCAAATAAATCAGAAGGCGAAGGTTGGACGTAACCAAAGAAACCCATAAAATCTCCGAGAAGCCAAATATCAGAAGACAATTAATGGACCAAGTCGAGTTATATTTGCTGGCGATCTCGTGGCATCGAGAGGATACCGAGATCGTGCCAGGATACAAGCTTGGTTACAGAACGTAACCGAATTCGCGCGAAGTCACAATCAAAGTGTAAGTATAAGAATGGAAGCACAAAATAGCTGTCATTAGCACAGTCAAACAAAAGCACGTTAAAACAAACACTGAAACAGTTGTTTATAATAAGAATTGTTTCTATTAAACCAGTCGTGTTCTCATGATAAATGGTGAGTCACTACAGTTGTAACTGTTCGTAAAAATTAGAATTAACTAGGTGCCTGCATTGTAATTTCCCGTTTCGTTGTGAGAACCTGTAAATACAACAGTAGTTTAGTATTTTCGCTAAAACTTTGAGTCGTATATATAAATTTCTTTCCTGTAGTAAAATGTTCGGATGAATACTAGTAAAATTTATAGTCCAAACGAATACGAACGTTTGTAGAATTATGGTCTATTTCGTTATTAGTACCGCTATAATACTAGACTTAATCTAAAAATTGTGGATATGTCATGACGCGACTACATAATCTATAACATCTTATGTACAAGTCACATCACTGTCCATTATGACTCGTCATATCGAAGTAATCAGCGGTATGATGTTTAGCGTTTCTAAAGAACACAGGTTGAAGTTAGAACAATATATTTAATATGAATAAAGAAGATAAGTTTCACAAGGATGACTACGTCTGTAAGGCTGAGCCATGCCATTCAATTCAATTCGATTAATTGTTCCCGCCTTCTCCGTTGTTGACTTTCTCTTCGAGTTGATTGTTGAATATGAACTTTCCCTTTATCTCATGTTAAGCTTTGAGGATTGTGTGGTTAGAACCAATACCATTACACTTTTACCAAGCCGTTATGGGAAATGAAACGCTGCAATACCTTTGCTTGAAGTACGTTTTTGCGAAAAGAATTTAACGATTGAGTACAGTTGTTATATCTATACTTGAATATTCATTAAAGGAATAGATGTGACAGTAGTCAGTATTAAACGCATTTATCGTTGAGACATAAGTCGTTTGTTCACATTATTTTCCGCATCCAGAAATTCTTTAAGTCATTCTCCTGTACAAACTTCACTATTAAGAAGGTTTAAGCAGAAAATGACGCAGGTATTCAGTGTTTGACAACGCTTTTACCAGCAACACCTTCTAATATAATTTGGACCCACCCAGAGAAATCAAAAGACAGAGTCGAGGAGATTGGAAGAGTGTATTTGACGATTACCAATATATCGGAATTCTCTGATCTAATCTGGCTAGCGATTGCGGTAGATGTTGAGCACAGAGTTACCACACGTGATCTGGTGCGGATGCCTGACCGAGCGCCTTCAGCTAGATGAGCCCACTAAAACATGTGGTCAACATCCAATGTCGAAAACTTACAGAGCTATTTATTTTAGGGATTTATTTACCGCTACAAAGCCTTTCGATTAGTTGACAGAAGCCATACATTGCAAAACACAAAGCGTGTGGATTGGTTCCCAGCTTAATGAATGCAAATCTGAAGAACAAAAACCAATCATGAAACAAATGGTTTAATTTCTTTAATGGTATCTAATTCAGTATGTAGATGGGATAGCAGCTAACAGAAATTAACTGTGTCTTGCTTGTTGTTAATAATGCCGTTTTTACTCCAGTCTTTCTAGTTTTACCTAGTCGTTTAATATTTGCACAAAAGTTTCAGTTTCAGTTTGGAAATGACAGGAGGCTTGATGTTCTGTGTTAACTCTGGCAATAGAGGTCTCTCAGTTGATCCAACTTTTTTTTGAAAGTGTCGACGGATGGAGCCTCAACCACGTGGTGGGGTAGTGAATTCCACTCGTTGATGATTCGATGGGAAAGTCGATAGTCAGCTGACAAGTAATTTGTTCTGGGCTTGTGAACTTTTTTGGAGTGTCCTGTTCTGGAAGACAAGAAAAATGGGAGCATATCAGGTACAAATTTATGACTATGCAATTTGAAAACTGTAATCAAGTCGCCTCTAGTTCTGCGATATGACAACGGGAATAGGTTTAGATTGGGCAGTCGACAATCATACGGAAGCTTCATTATTCCGGGAATCAGCTTAGTTGCTCTTCTCCGAACCTTTTCCAGAACCACACTGTTTTTTTGTAAGCATGGGCTAGCCGCTTGTATGCAGTACTCACGTTTAGGACGTACGAACACTGTTTGCAAAATCAAAAACGTTTTGGCGTTGACATAAGTAAAAGCCCTGCGTATTGACCATAAGGTTCTAAAACCTTTGGCGGCCATTGTACGGCAGTGTGCATTAGGCTTTAAGTCTTGGCTAACTATAACTCCTAAGTCATTATGTGTCTGGACGACAGGTAGCTCAGTGTTATTTATCGTGTATGTATCTGTGCCTTGATGACCTATATGGATCACAACACACTTGGAAGTATTTATCGGCAACTGCCAGGTTTGAGACCATTCAGATAATTTCTGCAGGTCATTTTAGAGTTTTAAGCTATCACCCTTACGTCGTGTCGTTCTCCATATTTTGACATCGTCAGCAAATAGCAAGACTGATAATGATAGGAGACGAGGAAGGTCATTTACATACAAGAGGAATAGCACTGGCCCCAAAGCTGTATCCTGGGGCACTCCACTAAGCACAGTTTCCCAGCTAGATAACTTTCAGTTCACCCGTACTCTTTGTTGGCGCCCAACTAGGAAGTCTTTTTTTCACATCAATAGATTGCCTCCAATTCCGACATTTCATAGTTTATATAACAGCCGGTTGTGCGGATCGTTGTCGAAAGCTTTACTGAAACCAATGTTGGCTACGTCTACACGTAACTTTTGGTCCTTAAGACGTTCCAGCTTTCACTAGCGACTAATAAGTTAGTGAGACAGGAATAACCCATTCTGAAACCGAAAGGATCCGGCTTTCACTGAGGTACTTAAACAGCTTCTTCCGAATAATCTTTTCTAAGATTTTAACAACCACACTAGTTAGGCTAACGGGTCGGTAATTCTCAAGTTTATGTTTCGTACCCGTTTTGAAGACAGGACTTACTATGGCGTTCTTCCTGTCTTTTGGTAAACGACCTTGAGTTATGGATAGATTAAAGCATATATTTTTAGGGACTAACTTTCATTCTGTTCACTTTTTTACCGTTAATATACATAGGTTCCTGCCTGGAGGCATCGGTGATGCACTGTTACTAGATATGGAGGGCCGTTAAGCATATGAATAGTTTGGCTACACCTCTACGTAAGCTACAGCTCCGTCGTCCGACTTATTCAAAGAATTTAGAATCCGCAGTGGAATTCTAACCATTAGAACTGGTCCAGTTCTTCATATCTTTTATCATACCTCCTTTGTTAACGAATAGTTTGTTGATTTATGCACTTCAAAAAATTGAAGCGGAAGTCCTATTTTCATTTAGCTACGAATAGTACACCACAACCACGTACAGAACAGTAACTTGTAGGTCGCTCTTTCTGAAAGTAAAGTTCGATGTGTTTGTTTAAACATCTGTAACTGCTTGTGACTTTCAGAGAGGATTGTGCGTGCCTTCAAATTTTCTTCAATAGTGCGTCTGACCTTGGGTGAGTGTTCACTGTTATGTATCTAGCTTATATCATTCTGATTACTGGATACGAAATTTTTTTAAACTCTCGACTTTTATTTGAAGAAAATACTGTCTTTTGTGGACAGCCGAATGTCTACAGTTGTCATGAAAATTCAGCATGCATTAATTATCATTAAATCATACTTTTTCGTTCAGTTGTCAGAATTTCATGACATCCATCAACATACATCGATCAGTTCCACATGCATCATTCCCCATATGTAGTAAGGTGTGTTTATTCAAACTCTGTTATCAGATAAGTGGTTAGCCGTCGTAAACTGAACTTTCTGGTCCACTAGGTAGTTTGTGCATCACTTTTGTATCATGAGCACAGCGCATACTTTTAACGTTTGTTACCACTGTAGGCAGCCTTTACATCAGAGTAGCTCAGCAATGCCTGTTACGATTTACTGGACACCATGCAAATTTGAATATGTATATTGATGCGTTTTCCGGGTTTAGGCTCATAGTAGTTTTCTTGTATTTTTTTCTTACAGACTTGTAACTCACGAGAGTAGCCACCATCACTCGCCAATCTATTATTTAATTTAAATAAATTTAATACAATATGCATGGGAGAGTTAAAATTATACAGACAGCTGAACAAGAACGAGCGAAAAAGCTAAAAAAGGAACAAATAAGTAAAGAATTCTCAGAAGAATGTGAGAAGCTCTGGTTGTGTCGTGAAAAAGATGACTTCAATGAAGTGCATCTGGAAGAAATTGGTTCCCTTATTGAGACATCTCCAGACACAGCAACCCTGTGGAATTATAGACGCGAAATAATAATGCATCTCATTCGGAATTTTTCTGAGGATCAAGAAAAGGTTTCAAAGTTATTTGAATCTGAATTGAACCTTACAACTCGCTGTTTATATAGCTCGCCGAAATCTTATACTGTTTGGTATCACCGATCTTGGGTTATGAACAATCACACTTCTCCGAATTGGGAATCTGAATTGAAGCTTTGTAACCAAGCCCTAACACAGGATGAAAGAAATTTCCACTGTTGGGATTACCGCCGCTTTGTCGTTTCCAAGGGTAGTATTTCAACGGAGTTAGAGCTGGAGTTTACAGACTCTGCCATAGAAAAAAATATGAGCAATTATTCAGCTTGGCACTATCGTGGTGAACTTTTAGCTTCTGCGTCTAACGCTTCTGTATCATCGTCCGAAAGTCTTAATCCTCAGACTCAGTTGAATAAAAAACAAAGCCAATCTCGGTTTGATTTTTCATTACCAAGTGGCGAACTGGATCTTGTTCACAATGCAATATTCACAGATCCCGCTGATCAGAGTCCTTGGTTCTATTATTGGTGGTTATTGGGTCGCGGAGAAAGAAAGGTTTATTTAAGGGAACTGTATATTTCACGGAAGCTGGGAAGATTTGTTCTTGTTTTTAGCTCTGTGAAATTGATGGAAACTTTAAAAGATTTGCAGGTTTCCATAAAAGTGTTTCCATGTGACGGTACAATTTCTAATTCTATAACTTTAACACCTGAGCTTCTTGGGGGATGGAACTCTGTCCTAGATGAGCAGTTATCAGCTGTTTGGTGGTTGCCGCTTAACCAAGATTTAGTATCTCGTTACGCTCCTGATAATGATAGGCACCTATATCAATGTCAACCTTGGAATGTTGTAGCCCAAGTCTGGATTAGGAAAGCTAATGGCGATGGAAACCAGGAAATCTGTGTTAATATGCCTGAAGATTCTGCAAACTACTTGTCCCTTCAGTGTTGTATGGATTCTCATCAAAATGAATCACTGACACGCGTCACTCTAGACCCTCTAAGATTGTTAAATCCTATGATTTTGCCCTCACATGATCCAAAAGATTTGGTTGGGGAACTGAATATTGTTCGTGACCTGCTGTCATTTGAACCGAAAAACAAATGGGCTTTGTTGACGCTTGTCAGCCTTCTTCGCTTTATTCGACCGCATAATTTTCATGAAGAGGTAAAAGAAGCGTTAAACGTGTTAGTGTCAGTTGATCCTCAGCGTTCTTTTTATTATGAGCACTTGCGATCTTTGTATGCAGCCCTAGATGTTCTGGCTCATGCATATGAAGACCAGTCCAGGGAAGTGGTGTTACATAATCTGGATATGAGTTGCTTTCGTAATCTTGATTGGTATGCGTTGATGACCAAAATCGATTTTTCTAATAACTCAATCGTACGAATCCCGGATACTTTCTCTTATTTAATCTCCGTTTTGGAACTGAATTTAGATGATAACCAGTTAATAACTCTTTGTGGGATTTCCCGTCTTCCGTCTCTAACCAACCTTTCTGTCCAACGCAATCGACTGTGTACTTTCGAATCGATTGAAGACTTAGTTTATTGCCCTAGTTTGCGCGTAGTGTACATAAATGGAAATGAAGTAATCAAGTTACCCCAGTTGAGTAATTTGATATCAAAACATCCAGGGTTTCAAAGACAGGGAGATTCATTTTCTTTGGTGTACGATAAAACATTTCACCATTAACATCACAATTTTGTACAAAATATTTAGATTTACTAGCATAATTTTGATATTTTTAACTCGTGATATTCTACAGTTTTTCATATGTAAATTTCCATATTTCTGCATTAAATATATACAACACTTTAATACCAAGAACCAAGTATGAAGTATATTTGTTTATTTCATTTAGATGGAGGTAAAATTATGTTTTTGGGTTCTGTGGGTTAGATTTTGCATCTTGCTCAGAAATTGGCATGTCTTTTAATATAGGTAACCACTCGTTAGTTATTAAATCCACTTTTTCAGCTATGAAGGAAAGTGGTCTAGTTAGTATTAGCTGAACACTTATGTTCCAACGTCTAAAACATTTGTTCTCGAACAGCCCGACCATATGCTCTTGCCTCGTTGCTCACCAGTCCCAGATTTGGAGCACAAAGTGGTTCACTCAATTACATAAGAATTACTCATTCACCGTCTGTACTCATCAAGTAACTGAATAGCTTCACAGAATCCACTTGAATAAAAAGTAGCTTAACTGGGGATGAGTCTCACTAAGTGTGAGGGCTGATTATGCTACTTGGTTGCCCAAACTGAAGTGGATTGAGTGAGTTTCGAACCTGTAACTTATTGGCTGAAAGTTGAACGCTTTCACTGCTAAGCCACCTCAATGTATAATGACTACCTACTTTGGGCACTTTTGTCAGAACTTAATACTTCTATTTCGGCATTATGTTGACGAAATTAGTCCTCTTAACGTCTGATTCTGCTTTTCTAGTAGGATAGTATCTTGTTTAAAGGACCATAATCTCTCAATCACTATTTTCTGCTTGTCGTTTCCGATTTACTTTAATTCCTACAGATAAGGAGAATTCAAACACTTGTCACAGTCAGACATTTTGCTTTTGCGTATTATGGTTGACATTAAACTTTGGGTTATCATACCAAAAATGGTCAGCCAAATCATCATCCCAAGACGATTTCCCTTTTATACGTAAATGGTTATTAAGAGTTAAACATGGTCGTGTTCCCTTTTTCCCGTTCATATGAGAGCAGTTCCCCCAATTGAGTTTTGACTCGTTCAAAAAGTCGAAAATCTGGAATAGCCATGACCCAGTTCCTTCACTTGAGTGATATAACCTAGGGTGGTTTTTCAGAGATTTACTTGTGTTCAAATGTATAAACTGGATTAGTGAGCTTTTTGGGATCATTTTTGGAATAAAACGTGAAAATCAAAGCTCTTTTAGTCTGTCATCGATTTCCGCGATTGATTTTGAGCGAAGTGTTAACGAGGTTTTTAAATATTCTTTTGTTATACACGGGATTCTTTTAAAAAAATCAGTTGTACTGCTATTGGGCTAAACAGTTTCTTCTTTAGTATTTGAGTGTTTTATGAAGTTATTTTCCATATATTATTAACTACTATATTATTTACTTTATAAGGATCACAAGCCAATTTAAAACGCTTTTTGATAATGTGTGCCAGTTTATTTGGCACTTTGTAATTGTAAAGAAAATAAAGAAATAAATCCAATGAATACATTTTAGTGTTTTTAATACTGATGCATATCTCTCATGATCTCCAACAACTGTTTTTTGTTCAGGCTGATAGTAACTTAGTCGACTTGTGAAGTGTATTAATTTGGTCATCTTTGTATTATTACAAACTACAACTAGCCTCGCATTAAGGTGGGTGGCGTGACCTTTCCCAACCATCTTATTGGACGGTAGTTAGGAATTTCGACTAACAACCCTTTTGTGTCTGAAATTCGTTATGCAGCCTCATAGTTGCATGCCTGGTGGTTTAACTCCATTTAAAGTAGTTTGTAGGGATGGAATCCCCTTAGTTTACAATATTTTAACAACTGCTGACGGTCATTTACGGACAACGTACAGAAAGTTATGTAAACTAACTACCCAGATTCTGGCCAGCATCCATAAATGTGGTATGTGCCTTCCAACATTGAAGTGAAATTTACCACAATAAGTGCAAAGCTACGTGCTTGCACCCATCCTTGGTCTTGAATCATTGGAAATAGTGAATTCCATGCTGCTGTGTAGTTTTATAAGTATTAGTGTGTAAGACGGGTTCAGCTTGCCTGTAGTTGATAGAGGTTATTGTGATCTAGGCCACCTCCAGTGCTACCGATTATTCTAGCCAGAAATTTCGTTGTAGAAGGCTGTAGTGATTGCAGTTACAAACGACTAACATCTCATTTCACGACTTGCCAGTGTGGATGCTGGAGATCACTAAAATTAATGCTTCAAGGTTTTATTAGTTTTAGTTCACACTTAAAACCAGCGGTGATCTTGGTCTAGTTCTTCATAAACAGTTTGATGTCTCTCTGCTGAATGGGAGTCTACCTTGGTTTTGTCATTACTTAGACTATTTTTTGACTTCTCTTTTTTAATATTTTTAACAAATAGTTTCTATTTCTTTACACTGTAGTCACTTGGTTTTGTGTGGCATGTTTATTAGTATCTTATTTTACTGAGTATTGTCTGGCAGCGTGATCCAAAAATAAGGAAAAAAACTTCTGCGGAGTACAAAGTGTAAGGTGCATTTGTGTGGAACCGGTTATTCTTAACCTTTTAAAATAAGGTAATTAGGAATATCCCCATCTCTTGCTTTTACAACCTAACGCATGACATTGAAATGTCTACACCTTAGAATGACATGAGGTATGAATATATCTGAGCTATATTACCGAAGTTTCGTAATTATCAATATGTTTCTTTTACATATCACTCGTAAGAAATATACATTGCTTTGACAGACAGGCGATGGATAAAATGATTAGTTAACAGTGTAAAATGGAAGAGATAAAGCTTTGACATTCAAGTTAGGAAATTATTATGCCACAGTGTAGTGACAGTGATTAGAGTAATTAAATATCAACCGGCACTTCACAGTTTCGAACCCCGCTATCTTGGTGTAGGTTGCATACTTAACCTTCACATAGTATGGCTTTAAGTACGGAGACTTGTACGTGGCAAATGAGATACAAACTACAATTTCTCAATTATCTTTCATATCGTTATCGAGAAAATGAGTAAATTTTTTTATTTACCAACTATTTAGTTACTGAGATGAAAACATATGGTATCTCTGGTTGCTGGTTTTTCTTCATTTATGTACATATATATATATATATATATATATATATATATATATATATATATATATATATATTAGACAGGGTTTTCCCTTTTAATATGTATAGGTTCAGGTTGTCACACCTTAGCACGTCATTAGGAAAGATTGTATAATATAATATAAATGACACAAATGAGGACAGAACAAAGATTGAACGAGATTATACCATTAAGGGGCAATTTTGATCCGTGTCGCCTAATATGTTCAACCAAAGAATAGGATATATATATGTATATATACTGTATTTTTCAAATATTCGTTTCGGCGTTGAAGTAGAAAACAGTTTAAAATTGGATTGGCTCGAATTATATAAGTCCTATATTGTTTCGTATGTTTTATAAAGGAATACAGAATAATATAATTAATTATCACAATCATGAAAAATAAACGTATTTTATATCTATAATCTAAATCTGTTAAGTTCATCTTTCGCAAACAAGACGTAATGTTGTGTGTTAAAGGAAGCTAGAAAATATTAAGAGTTCGGTCTGAGTTACAAATTAATGTGATGCATATTTGTAGAGTAAGTAGGAAAAAGCCTAAATATATTAAACGAAAACAATGAAGTAATCCTGTGTCAATAATTATTCAGTCTAAATTAATTCAGAATTCTGATCGCTAACTATTCTTGTTAGGTTGTGCACGACGACCGATTCTAATCTGCCTATTTCATCCACAGAGCGTTTTGTAAACTTAACGGAGTTATGAACTATGCACCATACGGGAGTATATACGAGAAAATATTTTTCCGTCTCCTGGGGTGTTTGATCCGTCAGTGTTTTACAATCCGAAGTTAGGTCTGACCTATAATAATATTATGACATCGCAAATAACAGTAATTACTCTTATCAAACCTTGGTTACTGTTTTTTATGGAAGTGTTTTTACATGCTTTCATTATCATTAAAAGAAAACCTATATATATATATATGGAACGTTTTAATTACCCACATGATTATTAATTTACTGTATTCTAGGTGCATCTAAAATGAGTGGTGATCTGGAAGGTTGTTGTAGATATAGTACGAGCAAAGCTGGTATGGAAGGTTTAGATAAAGCCACAATTATGAATATTATATTGGAGAATTCCAAAGGTGAATTTTGTAGAATGTATATAACTGTTCACTTGACAATTTGCCAAAAGTTTTCAGCTTTCATTAAATGAAATTAAATTCTTGTAGATCATTAACCATGTACAGTTTTATGTACATGTTTTGAAGTTGCTTTTTGACGTGATGGTTAATTATAAAACCTGACAGTCCCTAGTCAGAGTGTGAGATTTGAACCTGTTGGTTGAAGGTTGAATGCTTTCATCACTAAGCTGCTTTTTCATCTGAATAAAATATTGATGAAAATACTCGTTGACATATTTAGTGATCTGCTGATTCATGAAACAAATGATGTATAGATATTCTGCAGTTACTTATTGTAAGATGAAATAGACATACGAAATAGTGTTGAAATCCGACGATATATAACAAATTCATCCGTAAAAAAGCGTTGTTGATGTTAAAATTATGTAGTTTTTTAATTGCCTGATTTTATTTTATTTAATAATTAATCCATAGTTTACATAAATGCACTATTTGCTTGTAAGTATTCATTCTAGTATTATGATATCAATAATAACGAACTGAATATTTGGCATATTCAGTTTTAATTTTTTGGATTTCTTGTCTTATTCCACTTTAAAACTATTATTTATATACCTGTGACCAAATCATACATATAAGTAACAAGTTTAAAATAAGAGGAAATGAACATACTTCATTTTTAAGATACTTCAAAATACCATCAACATAATATTGATACATAATATCATATCATTCATAAAAAAGTCCATAGGATGTCAAAGGATGTCTAATTCGGCTATATAGATCAATGAATAATTAAGCTAAAGTTCCCTGTAAATGTACTTATGAGTTCGTTCTTTTGTATTTAATGTAATTTAATATATTTGTAGCCTAGCTAACGAAAGTACTGATGACTGAATGAGAGATCATTTACAACCTTATGTCATTTTAAGCTGTCCTCTCAAATGTAGATTCATTTCACCTAGTGAATTTACATAGCAATATCTTGCGAACTACAGTGTAAATGGTTGGATTCTTGATATGATTGGTGTCTGCGATTAGTGACGTCATTAATTGGGGTTTTGATTTGTTGTGTAACATGATCTATTAAGTCAAGAAGTAAGCTTCCATTCATTAGAATAGGGGTTCAAACGCCACTCTACCTATCGTGGGAAATAATAGGGTTATTTTTTTAACGCAAGTCTCTGTAACCATAGTTAATTCAGTATCATAATACTATTAGTTAGGTCGCTCTTGTCAATAACCTTGCCATTACTAAATGGTCCCATTGAATCAAAATAATGCTTCAGTCAGTTAGCAACAACGTAGAACTTCATACATACGTGCATCAGTTCAAGTTGCCATACTACATTAGCACAAAGATACAATTGTTAATTCAAATCCCATAGTGGTAGAGGTAGTAAAAGTACAAGCAGTAATCGGAAAGATTAGGGTTTCAAGATGTTATTCAAGGAGTATAATCCAGTGAAATAAATTCGGGAAGAGAAGAAAAGGGAAATGAAGAATTCAGAAGATTAGAATTTGGGAGAACACAAAGAGTGGATGCACCTGCGCCATCACAAGAGATTTTGAGCCATGTCATTTAAGGTCTCTAACCATCGGTCTTTATCGTCTCGCGGATCCCAACCAGGTGGTCTACACCTACCAACATGACTCAGTCCAGTTGTCAGTGACTTCATGGATTTGCTTGATGCTTTGGTCTTCCAACCTACTCCTACACCATAAAACATCGCTTGTCGGGGCAGTCGGTGACTGGGCATATGTAACACATGTCCCAGCCATCTCAACTGATGAAGTAGTAAGACCTCATCAGTTGATTTGCCATCCTTACCTAATACTCGTTTCCTAACATCTATATTACTTACTCGGTGGTCCCAGGATATACGAGCAATGCTCCGAAGACACCTATAATGCTTAAAAACTTTAGTAACCGTTATCTGTATTTTTAATATATCTTTCCCATTCAAAAGATGTTTTGTTACTCTATTACAGCACAGGAAGTAGTCTTGTACCATATACTTCGCTTATAATACAGATCTGGGTATATTTTAGGTATCATGGTTAGATCAAGCTTTCGAATAACTGTAAGGAACTTTATTTTTGAACTCACGTTCATTAATACAAAGGAATTAGTTTTACTAACAAATTTTCAATTATTTAAGGGTCAAAGTTTTATGAAAATGAACTGAGGCGGGAAAAAGCTCTTCGTCAACAAATTGAACAAAAGCTTAAAGTTATAAAATCACTTACACCGGCGATGTTAAAAAGTGGTGAATTAGAAGTGAGTACATTTTCTCCTCTCTTTCTCATCGTCTCTTATTGTCAATTAATTATTTCATATGGAATTTAAAATTTGGTTACGAAGTTAATTTAGTCAGGTTGTAAAGATACCCGAGTTCGGTAGTTGGAGATACAGGTGCGATGCATCTTAAATTATTTGAAGTTGACACTTCCTTATCCAATATTTTCAGTACTTTCCTCTTGTTAATCACTAACACTTTTTTTCATTACAGAGCTTTTATCTTGTCTACATAGTTAAATAATCTACTTATTCTGTACGACCTGGAACAAGATTTCTTCTCGAGTAGTATAGCGTTTTGTTCAAGTTCTCAAATTAACTAAGTATATGTTCATCTGGATGAAAAACGTTTTGTTATTAATACTTTTACCCGGCATCTTGGTCCTTATTTTAAAGTTAAATGATAATAGTATTATTTTATTAGTTTTTTTTATTAGCTTAAGTTGAATTATGGTCTCAACTCTTAAAATTATTCAATATTATATGTTTAGCATAGTATGGAATTCTCAGCGCACAAGTCTCTTGGATATGTATAACATATTCATTAGAAAAAGAGATACTCAATTGTACTGGTCATTCATCTTTTATAATCAGTGAAGGGTTTTGTGGAGATTGTGGTAATTTAATAATTGAATTCATAAGTCACTTGAAGGTAGACCACCATAGATAACCTGGAAGCACTGGACGGACGTTTCATCCTAGTTTGGGACTCGTCAGCAGTGCGCATCCACGATCCCGCCCCGCTTTTGTAATACTGAGAAACTCAAATCAAAATTTTTTTTTCAATACTTTACTGGCGTTTTGATTAACAGTCAGAAATTAATATATATCTTCATGTATTCATAAATTTCTAAAATGTTTCATGCTTAAGAAAAAGCTTTGAAATTGCGTGGATATAATAATTGATTATTGTTTATTTCACTTTCGAATGATGTACATTGTGTTCCTGATTGTACGATTTCCTAACA